GACCAAATCGCATCGCACGAACAGGCCCGAATCCAGCCCTGCTGGGCTGGGGTAAACTTCTTACTGCTGCAGGCAGCTTTGGGGATGTCCAGACACGCTCTATACTCCAGGCCCCATTTTTCCCCAAGGTCGCGTTCGAGCCCCCGAAAGTACGCTTCCTTGCACAAAGTCTCCAAAAGCTTAGGGGGGATCAAACCGAGCTGCAAGCGATAACCACGGTCATCCGAAATAGTGACATAATCCTCCATGATCCAGCCCAACCTTAGCAGGGTAAGGCGGAGGGCAGAGACAGGGCCTTTGACAGTAGGCCAAGTGATTCTAGGAAGAGAAAAGACGCTCCTAAAGCCATCTCGAAGCTCTCTGTGGGGGATGGACCAGGGGTGCTCATGCGTTTGCGCCAACCACACCTCCTTGCTCCATCTCAACACAGGGGCACAGGCAGCTCGCCAGCACGGGTCGTCCGACAGGATGCTGACAGCCGTGAGAGACCTGCTCTTGGCAAAGGGCCTGACGGTCGAAAAAGCTCGCCGCCTCATCGTCTGGAGGACCTGGTCGCTAACACCCAGAATGTCCGCCCCATAGGCCCCTCCAGGGAGGGGACCCGAAGCGAACACCCTGAGGGCTTTGCGACCGAGTTTGCCTGCCTGACGCTTGATGCGCCTTGCCTTCCTGCAGAGAAGAGCCAACCTGCTCTTGAGCTTAGAACAGCGCCCCGAAGCTCTGACTGACGCTCCAGCACAATAGTCAACGCCGAGGTTGACCGTCGAGTCAGTGATCTTCCCTCCTAGTTGGCCTAGGGAATCGGACAAAGCTCTGGCAAGACCCTTGGACGAAGCAACAGTGCAAACCTTGTCTAAAGCGAATTGACAGTTCATCTCTCCCTCATCAGTAATGGCATGATGGAGGGCCGAGGAAACAGCAACAATGGAGGAGACAACATGTTTGCGCGTACCAGTGCAAGAGATGCCCGTGTCATCAATGTAAATGTCAAGTTCCTGGGAGGGGAAAGAGGGGAGCTTATCCAGGGAGGACATACTGTGAATGCGAATGAGCGTAGTGGCCATGCTGCATCCCGCAATCACCCCTTTCTGAACAAAAAAGAGTCCATCTAGCAGACCGGCAAGAGAAACGAAACGACCGCAACTGTACGCATAGAGCGAGAGACGGGTCAGCACTAAAGGAAACTGGTGCAGATGGCAGCGCTGCACAAGAACATCCAGATCAATCGTTTCGTAATACACGGTTAGTGGCCCCACAAGGAGCTCCACCGAATGTTCCAGTGGCAAGGTCCGCATGCGTCAACGCCATCCATTTTGGCACACCCCTCACACGGGTCGGAGCCCCACAGGGAGCTCCACCGAAGCAGCGCAAGCGCCCGCCACCCATTTTGGCACACCCCTCACACGGTTCGTGGCCCCATATGGAGCTCCCCCGAAAGCGGTACCCACAACGCAGTATTCACAATTGCGTATAGTTGGGTCTTACGCCCGGAAAATTGTTTTAACGATTTTTGAATACTCCTACTGTAGAGGGACATGCCCGACTTAGAGCAGCTGCAGGGAGAAGACCTACTGGCGTGCGGCTGGCTTTTTTGTTGAGAGGGAGAGGCCGCTTCCGGCGCCTCCAGGGCAGCGCTCTCGGGCCCCCAGGCCGGGGTCCTCCTCCTCCTCCTCCTCCTCCTCCTCCTCCTCCTCCTCCCTCCTCCTCCTCCTCCTCCTCCTCCTCCTCCTCTCCTCCTCCTCCTTCCTCCTCCTCCTCCTCCTCCTCCTCCTCCTCCTCCATTCCTTTTCCTTATCAATAATTTCTCCCTGTCGCACACCGAAGCCAGTGTTTAGGGCGGGCCGGGCGTTTCGCCTGAGACTTCCTCACCATTGATGGCTCTGAAACTTGAAGAGTGGCAACAGATGGAGGGCGGGTGGTTTTCAAAATGTAGCTCTCGCCTTAGCGCGGTGCACATTCGTTTTTCAATTTACAAGAGCTTCACAGATTGAGAGCGCATGGTTTTCAAAATGTGGCTCTCTCGCCTTAGCGCGGCGCACATTCGTTTTAAACATTTGCAGGAGCTTTAAGGATGGAAGGCGAGTGGTTTTCGAAATGTGGCTCTCACATTAGCGCGGTGCACATTCGTTTTCTTTGTTTTTTAACCACAACAACTTCAGGGACTGAGGGCGGGTGGTTTTCAGCTTGTGGCTCTCGCCTGAGCGCCGCGCACATTGGTGTTAAAAGTTGCAAGACCTTCACTGGTTGAGAGCGGGTGGCTTTCAAAATGTGGCTCTCGCCTTAGCACGGCGCACATTCGTTTAAAAAATTGCAAGAGATTCACGGGGTCCCATCATCAACGTACCAAACATGGTGATTTTGGATGGACTCAAGATCATGCGGGTGCAACAGTTACGTTGGCTCTCTGTGTTGAAGTCCTAGGAATGGCGTTCTGGTGCGATTCAAGATCGTCAAGACGCAACAATCAGGTTGATCCGTGGCGTTGGAATACCGAGAACAATGTTTTGGCATGCTTCAAGGTCTTCAAACGGGTGTCTTCCAACGAGGCAGTTCCACCAATGAAAATGAACCGTTGTAGGGGCCTACGGGGAGGGAGCTTGGAGGGAGGGTTTAATCCAACATCTTTGATGACTCTTGGGTTTACACTGGTCCTCCTCCTCAACCTCATCCTCCTACTCCTCCTCCTCCTCCTCCTCCTCCTCCTCCTCCTCCTCCTCCTCTCCTCCTCCTCCTCCTCCTCCTCCTCCTCCTCCTCCTCCCCTCCCCCCTCCTCCTCCTCCCCTCCTCCTCCTCCTCCTCCTCCTCCTCCTCCTCCTCCTCCTCCTCCTCCTCAGGCCTGGGGCACAAGCTGCCCCGCGACGAGCAAGCGGTTATGTACTCTGGGGACGGGACGGCGTGGTGAGAAAACAATTAAAATAAAACGCCACAAACATAAATGTTTGGCGCTCCGCGCGGATTCCTTGGATCTGCGCTGGAACCCCCTCCCTGGCGCGCGGAGCGCGCCAGGAGCGGCGCCGGAGGCGCCGCCCCGGGGAGCCCAGCGCGGACCCAAGGAATCCGCGCGGAGCGCCAAAAGTGTATGTTTATGGCGGTGTTGTGTTTCTTATTCTTCTTATTCTTCTTCTTCTAATTATTTTCTTCTTCTTCGAAGACGAGAGAGAAAGAGAGAGAGAGAGATAATAAAAAAGCAGCAGCAACAACAACAACAACAACAGCAACAACAACAACAACAACAACAACAACAACAACAACAACAACAACAACACCAACACCAACACCAACAACAACAACAACAACAGCAACATCAACAATAACAACAACAATAACAACAGCAACAATAACAACAACAACAACAACAACGACGATAACAACAACAACAGCAACAATAACAACAACAACAACAACAACAACAACAACAACAACAACAACAACAACAACAACAACAACAACAACAACAACAACAACAATAACACACACACACACAAACAACAACACACAAACAACAACACACAAACAAAAAAACGAAACAGCACAGCAGCCAACCCAAAAACGAGGAGCGAGGTCTGGGAAGGCAGAGAAGGACGAGGCCAGAGAGAGGGCACGTGCGCCAACCAGCAGAGACGAATCCCTGCGCCAGGCGCGCGGTTGGGGGATGGACCGAGTGGGCCCGAAATGCTGCCAGGCCCCTCTGAGCAACTCGAACACTGCCCGTGCTGCTTGCGCTCCAGGGCCACCCTCCTCCACAAGCTCATCCTCCGCCAACCTTCGGACACAAGGTAACCTCCTCCTCCTCCTCCTCTCCTCCTTGTCCTCCTCCTCCTCCTCCTCCTCCTCCTCCTCCCCCTCCTCCTCCTCCTCCTCCTCCTCCTCCTCCTCCTCCTCCTCCGTGAATCTGGCGCGTGGACGCCAGGTCCACGGATCGAGGTCAGTGACCGCCGGAGCACGGCGCCAGCGCCGCACGATTTGGCAACAGGGCGCGTCGATGCCGCATGAAGACGGGACTCGTCGCTAATCCACGCGACTTATATCCATGTCTGCGCTTCCTCGGCCCCCCTCCTGGGGCAACTTTGGAGCCTGCCATCTCATCCTGTTGGCTCTTGCGGACCGACGCTAACCGTCGCTAGTCGACGCTAATCGACCTTAAATCGGCGCAGAATCAGCGCTGTCGCATCCATTACCAGACGCCAGCGCGCGCTAATGCGCTCTGAGGATGGCGCTCCGAGGATACACAAAGCTCCCATGATTTGCTAATGGATCGCCCCCTCCTCCCCCTCACTCTGCTCCTCCATCCTTACAGGCCTCCTAAATGGGGTCCACGTAGATGGAATCGGAAGACCGCGCCGCCTCGCCGATACATCGGCCATACGTCGGCGATGCATTGCCGCCGTCGGCGGTGCATCGGCGACGCCAGCGCGGAGAAAATCGGGCTCCACATCGAGTCGCATCGGCGATGCATCGGCGATGCGGAGCGATCCCTCGGCCCTCTCCACTCGGATTTGGAGGCCTAGATTCGTCCGCGGGCCGCGAGGACGCCAACTCCAAGCGTGCCGATCCTCCTTGGCGGCGCGCAGAAGGGGCTAGGGGGAGGGGGGAAGGCTTCTTAGAAGCACCCTACTTCTTAGAGGGCCCTGGCCTTACATCTACAAATAAGGCCAGCGCCTTCTAAGAAGCAGGGGTGCTTCTAAGAAGCCTTCCCCCCTCCCCCCACCCCCCTCTGCGCGTGGCCGACCTCTCGGAGATGGACAGAACCCCCTTTAGCACAACGCGGTTTCGTGAAAGCGACCTCGGGCCCAAACCTGGCGGGCGCAGGCCTGGAAAATGACGTCCACGGCGCACCCTCGAGAACCGAGAACGAACAATCCGCCAATCGACGTGTCAGGGTGGGGGGGGTTCTGTCCGCCCCTGCTCCTCTCCCTCGAGGCGGCCGCCGGGCGGCCTGTCGCCCCCTCGCCGCGCGCACGAGGATGCGACGCGGGCGCGGCGAGGCGGCGGGGACGGGCCGTTCGCAGAGAGCAAGACGTCGTCCACGAGGGCCCCGACCACGTGCCTGGCTCGCGGCGCCCCGAAGACGAGGCCAGGACGAGGATGCCGCCACCAGGATCTCCAACGGTATGACTCCCAGCCATCCTGTGGTGTTGGGTCCTCGCTTGAAGGAGACGGCGCCCCGCGTCTCCTCACTCACTGCTCCTCCTCCCCCTACTCCACTCCCTGCCTCTGCTCTCTCGCACGCCCATGTCGACGCACCCCTCACACGTTTCGTGGTCACATAGGGTGCTCCGCCGAAGGCCCCAGTGGCAGGGTCCGCGGGCAGTTCTACCTCAATTTCGATGCACCCCTCGCACGCTTCGTGGCCCCATAGGGTGCTCCACTGAAGGCCCCAGTGGCAGGGTCCGCATGCAGTTCCACCTCAATTTCGGCGCACCCTCGCAGGCTTCGTGGATCCATAGGGTGCTCCACCGAAGGCCCCCGTGGCAGGGTCCGCGGGCAGTTCCACATCCATTTCGGTGCACCCCTCGCACGTTTCGTGGCCCCATAGGGTGCTCCACTGAAGGCCCCAGTGGCAGGGTTCGCATGCAGTTCCACCTCAATTTCGGCGCACCCTCGCAGGCTTCGTGGATCCATAGGGTGCTCCACCGAAGGCCCCCGTGGCAGGGTCCGCATGCAGTTCCACCCCCATTTCGGCGCACCTCTCACACGCTTCGTGTCCTCATAGGGTGCTCCGCCGAAGGCCCCAGTGGCAGGGTCCGCATGCAGCTCCACCCCCATTTCGGCGCACTCCTCACACGTTTCGTGTTCCTACAAGATGCTCCGCCGAAGGCCCCAGTGGCAGGGTCCACATGCAGTTCGACCCCCAATTTCAGCGCACCCCTCGCACGTCCGCGGCCCCACAGGTTGCTCCACCCAAGGCCCCAGTGGCAGGGTCCGCAGGCAGTTCTACCTCCATTTCGGTGCACCCCTCACACGCTTCGTGGCCCCATAAGGTGCTCCACAGAAGGCCCCCGTGGCAGGGTCCGCATGCAGTTCCACCTCCATTTCGGCGCACTCGTCACACGTTTCGTGGCCCCATAGGGTGTTCCACTGAAGGCCCCAGTGGCAGGTTCCGCATGCAGTTCCACCTTTCAGTTCGGCGCACCTCTTCCACGTTTCGTGGCCCCTGCAGGCCCCAGTGGCAGGGTCCACGTACAGTTCCACCTCCATTTTGGCGCACCCCTCATACGTTTCGTGGCCTCACATGGGGCTGCACCGACGGCTCCAGTGGCAGCGTCCGCATGGCGTGAGCGTGCCAACTTTGGCACACCCGTAACACGCGTCGTGGCCCCAGAAAGAAGCCCACCGAGGACGATACCCACAACTGCATTACACACACTTGCACATGGCTGGGTCCTTCGCCAGGATATTTCTTTTCAATCTGGGCGAATTTCCTGGATTTCGGCTCCCGGGGTATATTCTCGGGCCCCGGGGCCATCAAAAACGGATCCGGGGCGCGAAACTACCCCCAGGGGGAGGGGTCGGGGCCGCGGATTGAAATACTCACGAAGCCAGGACGAGGGTACCCATCGGTCGGAGGAAGTAGGTAGAAACATGAAGTAGGAAGGCTTTGAAAATAGATTGGGTGTCCGTCCGCTCCCTGAGGACGGAAAATGTGAAGCCACTCGATCATTGAAGTAGGAAGGCGCCTAAAGTAGATTGGAATATGGGAACCCCAAAATACCTACTTTCAACGACCGATGGGGAAATTCGGGCGAAGATAAATCGAGAATCTCTGAGATCTGGCGGCTCCGGAGGACGTATCGGGCGCCCCACGCTCAGAGCGTTGGAGTCCCGAAACGGTGCGGTGACAGACCGTGCGGTGACCTCGAAATCCCACAAAACCTCACCGCACGGTCCGTCACCGCACGGTCTGGGGACCCCGGGGGCCCCCGTCGCCCGAGACGTCTTCGGAGAGCGACCCGCGTGCCAAAACCGTGCGGTGACCCAGAATCCCCACCGACTCACCGCACGGTGTGGTCACCGTCCCGTTGGGGGGCCCCCGTTGTGGAACTCTCGGAGGGCGCTCCGGAGCGCTCCGGAACGGACTTGGCCTCGTCCTGGTCCCGTCCGACCCCGCCCGGGCGGCGGCCTGGCTCCGTCGAGGAGGAGACCTGCGGCGAGGGCATTGGACAGGGAACAGCCTGGCAAGGAGTCCAGGGTCCGAAAGGCTGGAGGAGCACCACCCGAGGCTTGGCCAATGGACTCGTTTTCCCAACTCTATATTTTGAAGGGGAGGAGGGGGAGAGGACACATCAGCACAATGGTACACACACACACACACACATCAGGACGATGACAGCACACACACACACACCAGTATGATGGCACCACATCAGCACGATGACACACACACACACACACACACACACACATCAGTATGATGGCACCACATCAGCACGATGACACACACACACACACACACACACACACACACGTCAGCACGATGACACTGAGTAGCCCGCGGGCCCCAGACAGCCGCGCGCCGTGCCACCAAAAGAGCCCCGACGTGGAGAGGCCTCGGCGGTCCCCGGGGCCTCGGCGGTCCTCGGCCTCCGGGCGCCCTGGCGGGCCGCCGGGCCCGTCAACGAAGAAGACGGCCCAGGATCAGGTCGGGCATGTCCTGCTGCAGGCGGACTCTGGAAGGGAACTGCAAAACAGTCACAGCAGAATCGAAACCGCCAAACACCAGCAACAGGAACGAAACATCGTCACCGCTCTGGATGGCCTGCAGCTCCTGACCACTCCTCCGGTAGCGGGACATCCCCGGTTGAAGTCCAGGATGATGGAGGCCTCGGCGACGCGGCGCAGTCCTCCGACGCGCGGGGAGGCCCAGGGCCGAAGAGCGGGTCCCCGGGGAGAGGTCCCGGCCTCTGGAGAGCGGCCAGTCCACGAGAAGCCGTTCACAGGAAGCCCAACCCTGAGACCCCAGGGCGACCCTTGATTCTTGGTGCTGGGACGTGGCGCGTTCCATCGCAGAACCATCGGGGCGGGGGCCCGACCACAAGGAGCCCAGCACAAGAAACCCAACGCTGAGACCCCAGGACGCCCAGGTCTGTTGCGTGGAAACGCCCCGCTGTGCACGGCGAAACCATCGAAACCCAAGAAACCGAGGGCACCCTGGAGGCTAGCAGGGTGCTTCTTGGCATGGGCCCCCACTGTAGAATAAGAAGCACGACGTCGGCTGTCCAGGGCCCGGGGGCTGCGGATCGAGGTCAAAGGCCCGGGGCTCGAGGATCCAGGAGTCCGGGCGCCCTCTGCCCTTCGCGGGCCTCTGGAGGTCTGAGGGGACCTCTGGGGACTGTCTTGGACCGCCAGAGGCCATCAGCAGCAGCAGAAGCAGCAGCATCATCATTATCATCATCATCATCATCATCATCATCATCATCATCATCATCATCATCATCATCATCATCATCATCATCATCATCATCATCATCATCATCACCATCATCATCATCATCATCATCATCATCATCATCATCATCATCATCATCATCATCATCATCATCATCATCATCATCATCATCATCATCATCATCATCATCATCATCATCATCATCATCATCATCATCATCATCTGCAGCATCATCAGCATCATCATGATCATCATCATCACCACCACCACCACCATCATCAGCATCATCATCATCATCATCAGCAGCATCATCATTATCATGATCATCATCAGTATCACCATTACCATCACCATCACCATCACTATAACCATCATCATCAGCAGCAGCATCATCATAATAATAATCATCACCACCAGCAGCAGCATCATCAGCAGCAGCATCATAAGAATAATCATCATCAGCATCAGCATCACCATCATCATCAGCAGCATCAGCACCAGCACCAGCACCATCAAAATCATCATTATCATCAACAACAACATCATCATCATCATCATCATCATCATCATCATCATCATCATCGTCATCATCGTCATCATCGTTGTTTTTACTCTTGCATGGGCCGCCGCTGCTTTTGTACGCCGTGCTTGTTCGACTGGAAGGTATTGCAGCTTCCCTGTGGATGCTCAAACGTTGCCCATCGTCCGGCACGAGGGGAAGGCGGATGCAGGGAAGGAGATGGGGGAGGGGGAAGGGGGGGGAGCGGGGGGGCAGGCGGAGGGCAGACAGGTATGGTCCGATGAGCTCGTGAACGGCAGCTTCCGCTGAGCACGCTGGAGCGGGCAGGGTCGAGGCAGAGTGGGTCGGATCCCCCGCAGCTGCGGGTAAGAGAGAGGGGGGTGCAGCAGGTCTGCTTCGACGGCGGGCTCATGCTGCGCCCGGTGGCTGCGCCGCGTCCCAGAGCACCGTAATTAGTCCAAAAGCGTCTGCCGCTCAACGGAGGCGGGCCTTCGCTTAGGTCGCCCTAAAGGCGGATTTTGAACGAGAAATTCAAAACTGTCAAAAGATATTCAAAATTAACCTATAAATGAACCCAAAATCGTACCCAAAATGATATTGACTATTTTTAAAGATTCCTCCTGTAGAGGGACATGCCCGACAGAAGCCTTGGCCGTGGCAGCGCTCTGGAGAACCATCGGTCGCTCCCCCCTGGTGGGAGTCGAGCCGCAACCGCGGCGGACACGCCGCCCTCATCTGCGCGAGCCCTCCCGCGGGGCCTCCCGGCGCGACCTCTCCCAGCGCGACCGCCCAGCGTGGCCCCCAGCGTGGCCTCCAAGAGGGCCCCCCGGCGTGGCCCCAAAGCGTGCTGGGATCGCCGCGGGGGATGCTAAGTGGATAGGAGGGTTACAAATGAATTCGGCTACATGCAAGAGTAACCTCTGGGTAAGAGTGACCTCTGGTGCGCGGCTTTTGGGGGGGCCGCGGGGAGACCAAATCTGGGCGCGCAAGCCGCTGCTACCGCTTCGTTTTCAGCCATAAGAGGGCCCAGCTGTACCCGCACCAAAGGTCACTCCGGCGAAAGGTCACCCTTACGTCTAGTCGATGAATGCCAAGGTGGGTTATATCTGGCCCACCCTGACTTACACGTGGGTTACAAATGCCCCGAATAGCTAAGGCTTGAACGATACGGGCTAAGTGGGCTCCGCCCACTTAGCGGGATTATCTAACCCCCCTAAGCCACCCGGGACTTCGATAACCCACTTATAAGCCAGGTTGGGCCAGATATAACCCACTTTGGCATCCACTTGTACCGCCCCTATCCACTTAGCAACCCCCACGGTCATCCCAGTGGCCCCTCCAAACGCGGCCACCAGAGAAACGCCGCCCGGACGGACGAATGCGCGCAGGGACAAAGCAAAGCCGCTCGGGCACCCTCGCTGTCTCTCTCTCTCTCTCTCATCAGCTCGCCGGGCTCGTGGGTCCGGCAGCTTCCTGGCGAACACGTCGGGATCGTCTGGGGGATGCCACAGCAGCCGGCAAGCCAACAGCGGGCCAACCCTGTCTGGGGGCTGCCCTGGGCGTGGGCGCGTCAGCAGAAGCCTCCGCCCCGTCGCAAGTCCCACAAGTGGGTGCTTCGCCGCCCCAACACGCAGCGCGCAACCCGTAATGTGCTGACACGAAGCTCAACACGTAGATTGAAAACGTACACTTGGCACGACATGTTCTCTGCAACGTGGGCCAGCACGTAGAGCCAACACGCAGCGTGGTGAACCCAGCCAGTTTGACAAAGGTACGTGCTGAATTTCTGCGCGAGCGTACCTGGGGAAACCAAGAAGTACCGATACTGCTTCTCACAGGAGCCATCCCAGCACCCGGGGTGCGTTCTGAACAGAGTTTCGAGAAGAATCCAGCGGTGGCCACGAGGGCCTCCCAGGAGGCCAAAAAAGGGGAAAACGAGGAAGGGTAGAGGTATCAGCACCTCTTCCTCCTCTGAGCATGAAAAAACAGCTACGGGTGGGTGAATTCGGAACCTCGGGGCCTGGACTCGCGTTTCGCGAGCGTCTCGTGCGGTGCTGGTTGCTCGCGGGGGCCCAGACCGCGAAGCGAACGAGTGGTCGACAGCAACAGCAGGCATCCGAGGCAGCCTGCAACCCAGGCGGGGCCGTGTTGGTCAGCGTGCTCGATCGCTGTCATGGGAACTCAGCCTCAGTGAGCACGGGTGCAAATGCAGGAGGCGATCTGAGTTTCCACAGGCGGCGTCAGAGGCAGCGTCACCCTGGCGGGGCCGTGCTGTTGAGCGTGCTTGATCGTTGCCAGAGTCATAGGAACTCACCGTCAGTGAGCCTTTACGTACGTGCAGGATGCCACTTGAGATTTTGAGCCAACACATCGGGCGTGAATGTGTACGTACGAAGAAGAAGTGTTGCGTGGCCACCAGGGTCTCGAAGAATAAAAAATGTCATGATAATCGCCTCGCTTGTCTCCGCGGGTGAGACCCAACTCCCAAAGCTGAAAGGGAAAAAGCATGAAAGAAACGGGAAAGACGGGGAGGGAGAAGGGTAGGGGGGGATGGAGCAGGACGAAGGCCAGAAGAGGGAGCTGAAGAGGGGGCCAAAGGGGCAGCAGGGAGGGGAGCAGCGAGGATTGGGGTAGCGAACAGGAGCGGGGAAAGGAGAGATGGCGAACGGAAGGGGTAGTGAGAAGAGTGGGTGCAGGAGGGGGACGGGGAGACGAAGGGTAAGACAAAGGGAGAGCCGGGGACGGGAGGAGCAGAAGGATTCGGAACACCAGGTCGCGACAACGTGGGCAAGCACAAAATCATTACCTGAGGCTCACACCGAATTCCTCCCTCTCCTTTGTCCTTCTCTCCCCCGCCCCCGCCGTCATCATCATTAATTTACTGCTGCTGCTCATCCCCCCAAGCTCCCTGGCACACTGCGCCCACCCATCCGAACCCTCTAGAACCCATTGAAACTCCGAAACCCCCATCCTCATCCGCACCGTCATCCTCATCATGCTCCATCATGTTCCTGATCAACACCATCAACCCTCCTCCTCCTCCTCCTCCTCCTCCTCCTCCTCCTCCCCCTCCTCCTCCTCCGCCTCCTCCTCCTCCTGTCCTCCTCCGCATGACCATTACAATTGTTGTGCTTCGTCAGGTTCCTCCCCAGCAGCATCTTTCATCCCGTTCTTTTTTCCATCCTCCTCCTCATCCTCCTCCTCCTACTCTTCTTCCTCCTCCTCCTGCTCCTCCTCCACCTCCTCCTCCTCCTCGTCCTCTTCCTCCTCCTTCTCGTCATCCTCCTCCTCCCCTCCTCCTCCTCATCCTACTCCTCCTCCTACTCTCCTCCTCCTCCTCCTCCTCCTCCTCCTCCTCCTCCTCCTCCTCCTGCTCCTCCTCCTCCTGACCATCCTGTTCCGCATCGCCCTCGTCCTCATAATGATCCTCCCCATCATCCCTCGCGAGGCGCATCTAGGACGGCAGGAAAAAAAAGAAGGGTAAGCGGGCCGCGAGGTCACACGAGAGGGCAGCGCTCGCGTCAGCCAGCGACCGAGGATGGACAGGCACACCTGGCACCCGTCGACAGGCCCCCTCCTCCTCCTCCTCCTCCTCCTCCTCCTCCTCCTCCTCCTCCTCCTCCTCCTCCTCCTCCTCCTCCTCCTCCTGCTCCTGCTCCTGCTCCGCCTCTTCCTCCTCATCCCACTCTTTCTCCTACACTCGATGCCCGCAGAGAGGGCGAGGCCAAGGTTGTGCCTGGAAACAACCGACCCCCCCACAAAAGCCACTGCAAACACAGCACAGAAGCCTCCCACAAGGCTGTCGCGGCACGTGGACCGATCTCTCGGGACCGTCGCAGACCGTGACCCAAGCATCACGCTACGCGCCCCGTAGGGCGGCCCCCTCCGGGGCACCCGCGCCACGCCCAGCCTGGCGCGGAGCAGTCTGGAGTACTCTGGGGCATTCCGTCTGGCCCCTTACAGCCTGTGCCTGCAGAGAGGGCAAGGCCAAGGTCGTGCCTAGAAACAACCGACCCCCCCGCAAAACCCAACGCGAACGCAGCACAGAAGCCTCCCGCAGGGCTGTCGCGGCACGTGGACCGACCTCCCAGGGCCGTTGCAGCACGTGGCCCGAGCATCACGCAACGCGCCCCGTAGAGCCGCCCCCCCCCCCTCCTGGGGCAGCCGCGCCACGCCCGTAGGGCAGCCGCGCCACGCCCAGTAGGGCAGCCGCAACAGGCCCCGTAGGGCTGCCCCACCCTCAGGGCAGCCGCGCCACGCCCAGCCTGGAGTACTCTGAGGCATTCCGTTTGGCCCATCCCACAAGCCGGTGCCTGCAGAGAGGGCAAGGCCAAGGTTGCGCCTAGAAACAACCGACCCCCCCCCCCCCGCAAAACCCGACAAACGCGAACGCAGCACAGAAGCCCCCCGCAGGGCTGTCGCGGTACGGTGGACCGATCTCCCAGGGCCGTTGCAGCACGTGGCCCAAGCATCACGCTACGCGCCCCGCAGGGCGGCCCCCTCCGGGGCACCCGCGCCACGACCAGCCTGGCGCGGAGTACTCCGGAGTATTCTCGGGCATTCCGTCCGGCCCCTCCCACAGCCAGTGCCTACAGAGAGGGCAAGGCCAAGGTTGCGCCTAGAAACAACCGACCCCCCCGCAAAACCCAACGCGAACGCAGCAAAGAAGCCTCCCGCAGGGCTGTCCCGGCACGTGGACCGAGCGCCACAAACACGCCCCGTAGGGCAGCCCCATGGGGGGTGTCGCGGCACGCGCAGCCCAGCGCTGAGCCCTAGGGAGTACTCTGGGCCACCCCGCCGGGCCACACTGCGACGCAAGCGGCGCTGGGGAAAAAACATGGCCAGAGCTGTGCCTAAAGACCACCAGGCCTGTCGCAAATACCAAGAAAAAACTTCTGCGATGCCTGCCCAGAGCACCGCGAACACCCACACCGTCGGGACGGGCATGGCACGCCCGCGCTGCACCGCCCTGGGCCCAATGAAGCTGAGCAACCCCGGGACGGCGCCGCCGCCCACGCGGCCCAGGAAAGCGCCTCGGGCGAAACGAACCGGAAGGCATCGCAGGGCGCCGCGCGCCAGCGGGGGACACGAGATGGGCGCGAAGGTGAACGAGGGTGGCGCGAGGGGACAAGAGGGGACAGAAGGGGACACGAGGGGACAGCATGGGGCACGAGGGGGACACGAGGGGGACACGAGGGGACAGCAGGGGACGCGAGGGAACAGTGGGGGCCACGAGGGGGGACACGAGGGGGAACAAGGGGAACACGAGGGGACAGCAGGGGACACGAGGGGACACGAGATGGGCGCGAGGGAACAGGAAGGGGACAGGAAGGGGACACAAGGGGACAGCAGGGGGCACGAGGAAGAAACCGCGACAATCAGCCAAGAAGGCGCTGGATGAGCGGCCACGAAGGCGCTAGATGAGCAGCCGCGAGGGCGCGTCTGATATTCATGTCGAAAAGAATCCAGCATGGGCGGCAGTGCCAGACCAAAGAAGCCGCGAGACGCAGCCACGAAGGCATTGGATGAGCAGCCACGAGGACGCCAGATGAGCAGCCGTGAAGGCGCTGGATAAGCAGCCATGAAGGTGCTGGATAACCAACCACGAAGGCGCTACCGACAACTGATTTCGAAGAGGAACCGGCATAGGCGACGAGAGACAAAAGCACAGCAGGGGGCACGAGGAAGACACGAGGGGGACAGCACGGGACACGAGCGGGACACGAGGGGACAGTAGGAAACACGAGGGGAACACGAGGGGACAGCAGGGCACACGAGGAGAGCACGAGGGGACACGATGGGGACACGTCCGGAAGAGCAGGGGACACGAGGGGACAGCAGGGGAGCACACGAGGGGGCAGTAGGGGACCCGACGAAGGAGGACACGAGGGGACAGCAGGATCCTCCTGGGGCCTCCTGCTCCTCCTCCTCTTCCTCCTCCTCCTCCTCCTCCTCCTCCTCGTCCTCGTCGTCCTCCTCCTTCTCCTCTTCATCCGCTTCCTTCTCCTCCTCCTCCTCCACCTCCTCCTCCTCATCATTCTCCAACTCCTCCTCCTCCTCCACCTCCTCCTCCACCTCCTCCTCCTCATCCTCCTCCTCCTCCTCTTCCTCCTCCTCCTCTTCTTCCTCCTGCTCCTTCTCCTCTTCCTCCTCGTCTGGTTGAGCTGGATGGTCCAAATGGTCTGGTTGGGAAGGGTGGTCTGGGTGATCCAGGAGCATGGTCCGTTTGGTCCGGATGGTCCAGGTTGGTCTGGATGGTCCAGGCAGGTCGGGTGGTCCGGGTGGTCCGGTTGGTCCTGGTGGTCCGATTTTGGTCCAGCTGATCTGGCTGGTACGGTTGGTCCCGGCAGGTCGGGTGCTCCGGGTGGTCCGACTCGTCCGGGTGGATGGTCCGGGTGGTCCGGGTGCATGGTCTGGCTGGTCCAGGTGGTCTGGTTGGTCCAGGTGGGTTTGTTGGTCTGGCCCGGTGGTCCAACGGTACGGGTGATCCGCGTGGCCCGGTTGGTCTAACTGGTCCGCTGGATCCAGTTGGCCCGGTTGGTCCAGTTGGTCTGGGTGGTCCCGTTGGTCCGGTAAGTCCAATTGGTCTGGTTGGTCTGCGGGCTGGTCCGGGTGATCCGGCGGACTGTCTGGGTGGTCCAGTTCGTCCCGTTGGTCTGGTTGGTCTTGTTGATCTGGTTCGTCCGGGTGGTCCGGGTGATCCAGGCGGTCTTGTTAGTCTGGGGGGTGGTCCGGGTGGTCCGGCGGGTGGTCCGGATGGTCGGGCGGTCCGGTCAATGGTCTGGTTGGTCCGGTTGGTCCGGTTGGTCCGGTTGATCCGGGTGGTCCAGGTGGTCTGGGTGGTCTGGCGGGTCCGGCTGGTCTGGGTGGTCCAATTGGTCTGGGTGGTGGTCCAGGTGGTCCGGGTGGTCTGGTTGGTCCGGGTGGTGGTCCGGGTGGTCTGGCTGGTGGTCCAGGGACGTGGGGCCGACTGTAACGGGCCGAGGAGGACGAAATCGAGGAAATTCGCCCCGATTGAAAAACAACATCCCCAGACCCCCGACGTCATGATTTTTTCATGACCCCCACATGTCTGGACCCCTTCCCGGGACTGGCTTTTCATCCTGAATCGATGTTTTAAAGGTCCCCAGGCCCGGTAAGGGCCCCCAGAGGCCGAAAATAGCAAAAAGAACTCCCGTCGTAATTTTTGTCATGACTCGAGGGGGTCTGGGTCGTTCGATATTTGACTGTGGCCGACCCAGGCCGCGCTGGCTTTCCTCTGCTGCGGCGCCGCCGCGACGGGCGCAGCGACGGCGCCAGCGCCTGTCCGAGCCGCGCGACCCTCGAGGAGCGGCGGCGGGCGCACGGGGGCCGCGCCGGGGCGCGCTTGGGAGCGGGGCCGAGCCGAGGCAGGCGCCGACGGCCAAAGCGCAAGACAGAGGCGGGAGAGAGGAGGAGGAGGACGAGGAAGAGGAGGAGGAGGAGGAGGAGGAGGACGAGGAGGAGGAGGACGAGGAGGAGGAGGAGGAAGAGGCAACCGCCGACGGCCAAGGCCCAAGACCGAGGCGGGAGAGCGAAGGGACCCAAATTTCCGATAATAAAACTTCTCGAGTCTGGGCGAATTTCCTCCATGTGTCGGCATCGGGGGCCCGTTTATGGGGCGCTGGGACCATCACGAACGGATCTGGGGCGGGAGCGTGCCCCGGGAAAGGAGTCGGGACCTCTGGGGCCGCGGATTGAAAAAATCACACCGGAAGATGCCAGGGGAAGCGGGGCACGACTGGGGGTGCCCGCCTTCCGGCCAGGGCCCGCGACTGGGCCAGGAACGGCCGGGGTGCACGAGTCGGAGGCGTTCACGAGGGGGCGTCCAAGAAGAGGAATGGCAATCATGGCCCGAAGCACGTGCGCGGACAAGGGGGGGCCAGGGAACGCATTGAAATGAGAAGAGGCAGCACGAAATCTGGAGGTCGCCCCCCTTTTGGCCGCCCCCGACTTGCAGCCAGGGCACACGACCGGTTTACAACCGACCATGGTGCACCAGTCACTGCCGACAACCGGCAAGCAGGGCCGCGCCAGGAATATTCGGGCTGGCTACATGCGTGAGCGACCCCAAACAATAGTGTTTTTTTGGTGCGCGGCTTTAGGGTGCCGCGGGGGGCCCAAATCCCATCGCGCAAAGCAAGGGTATGGTCACACCAAAAAGCACCCCCACGAAAGGTCAGCTTGACGCGTGGCCGACCAAGGCGGCTACCTTACGGCCATGGCCCACGACCGGACCAGGAACGGCCGCACGAGCCGCTGCCCACAACCGCCGAGCAGGGCCGCGCTGGGAACGTTCGGGAGCGAAGGTGGCCAAGAGGCTTGGCGGCAACCAGAGCAGGAAGCAGATTTGCCGACTGAGCAGGAAGCCAAGAGCAGGGCTCGCCAAGGAAACTGCCAACAGCCAGGGGGGGGCCAGATCTGAGGCATGATAGGTCGGGAGCAAGGCCAGCCAAAGAAACTGCCGACGACCAAGACGCAAAGCGAGCCTGGAACAGTCGGGAACAAGGCCAGACAAGCGAATTGCCGACGAG